AATAGTACTTGACCATATGCATTTAGTTTTTCTAGGAGTAACTAAAAAATTATTGAACATTTGGGTGAAAGGTAAATTGCCGCACCGACTTAGTTCACAACAAGTTTTAATTTTATCTAGAAATTTAATTCGACTTAGACCTTTTGTATCCCGTGATTTTCAACGCAAACCTCGTGGGCTCGACGAACTAAATCATTTCAAGGCCACTGAATTTAGACTTTTTTTGCTGTACTCTGGAATAGCAGTATTAGGCGAGACACTTCCACTAAATAAGTTTAAAAATTTTCTAAAATTACAAGCAGCGATGTCAATATTATTATCTCCTAATGCAAGTATAAAATCGTGGAATGATGTAGCCAGGTCGTTGCTCATACAATTCGTAAAAGAAGTTGAATTAATTTACGGTCCAGAATTTATGATATATAATGTGCATTCAATTATACACATTTGTGATGATGCATTGAATTTTGGTAATTTGTCCAGGGTCAGCGCATTTCCTTTCGAAAGCTATATGCAGAAACTAAAAAGCATGCTGCATGCTAAAAATTATCACCTGAATCAAGTAGCGAAACGCTTACAAGAAATTGAGGCAATTGATTTTGCGACAAAAATTATGAAATCTAGTACGCAACAGTTTTCTAATAGTAAATATGATAATTGTTTCTACTTAGGAGATGGTACTTATGTAATATTAAAATATATTAACCTATCCATAAAATATGCAGAGTTTTACGAGGTTATAAAACTTGATAAATTTCCGGAATATCCATTCAATAGCTTAACCGTAAATATATTTCTAGCTAAAATTACGACTAATGTGAGGATTGTTAATTACAGTGAAGTTATGTATAAATGTTTACTTTTACCTTATAAAAATATGTACTTGTGTTTACCACTTCTTCATACTTTAAAATAAATAACAAATGAAAAAGTAAATAATATGTGCAATTACTGGTGGCATTTGGATGGGTATAAGCATTTCCGCAGGTCTGAGCCATGGTCTTGCCACCGGTGGCAAGCCGGTATCAAGTTGGCGTGCCAACTGGAATACGAAGTTGGCCCGTACGCGATCGCCACCGCCAAGCCACCTATGGCCATTCGGACATTTCCTGCAGTTTGCCGACCCATTTTGGCCGCAGCTGCGCCTACTGCGGCCCTGCTAGTTTGGCAAATCGGGTTATTACCGGGCCGATGAGTCATATATTATGTACTCCGGTCAGTAATGATTTAATACCAGTTTTCTAAGAGTATATGTACACATTTCGACATATTAATAAATTTGCAGGGTTTACATTTAAAACTTGTAGATAGCCATTAACGCCGTGAGGATATATAATTTACAAAATTCAAACATTCGAAATTTTTTAGAGGTAAATCGAAATGATTTAAGTTGTATAGTAAAATTTTTCGTAAATTAAAGTAAATTATTGAGGCAATCCACGCAGTCATTTGTAACTTGTAAAATCCGTAAATTTTATAACATAATTTAAAAACTTTTGCAATATAAAGAGACGCACTTGATCCGAGTAAGTTTGCAAAAATTTGTAACCTGATTGTCATTAGAAATATTTGTAAGTTTACGGAATTTACAAAGTTACCAAGGCAAGGTCTTCGTTATAATTTCCTCATTATTAAATTGTTACTCGTAAAAGTCGATAGTATGTTTTGAGGAATTGAATTCTTGAGATTGTTGTCAGATTGGAAGTCAAAGAACTCGTCAGTAAATAAATTTCTGCATAAAATGGTAGATAACCAAGGTTGGTTATCCGATCCGATCCTATCGGATCATCCGAGATTATCCGACCATTTACTATAACATAGATCTGATCCGACTATGTTGTATCGGATAAAAATATCCGATCCGACGGATCGGATTGACCAACCCTAATGATAACTTCATAGAACAAGATATAATTTACTATACCAAATTAAAATATTACCAAATTCTACGTAAATTGCTGAAATGAAAACAGAACTTTCTTAGGAGAATTATTATTTACGGACATTGTGGATGTACAAATGAGAAAAACTTTATTGTTTTCTAAATGGTGTCAAGCTTTCGATCTCGATTGCGATCGGCATCCTTAAATTTACACAGAACTTTCTGTGTAAATTGACATTTGTTACCTATTATTTCTATAAATTTTCGTGAACTCGCAAATTTAAGGAATCTTTTGTAAAAATTATCAAGTTAACAATTCCATATATCCAGAAATTTAATGCTTCTCGAAATTTCTCGTGCTAAACAAGTAGAAAATACGACCATTTTTAAAATTTCATTCCATTCTGTTTACAACTGGAAATCAGGTTACAAACCTGTTTCAAACGTTTACAGATAACGGGCTAGATAGTAATATTTTATTTATTTATTTAAAATTGGTAAAATTATTTTACCAGAAATATAAAAGGTTGCAAACAATTGGCTTTGCGGGTATTGCCATTCTTTAAAAACTATATATTTTTCGAAATCATCCTCTGACGAACGAAACAAAAATTTCTGAAATTTTACAAAGTTACAAACGACTCTCGATTGCCTCCCGATTTATTTATTGTACCAGCTTTCGTGTAAATGCATTCTCTCAAACATCGTCAGGTACAGTATGCAAAGTTTCTAAAAAGTCGTGACAGTCTACGAAATTTACGAAATTATATTTACGAAGCGAAATTTCTTCATAAAATGTATATGCCTCTAACTTATTTTTTTAGCGGTTCAACGCCGAAGTAAATTTTGTGAAGAAATTATTTTTTTAGCGGTTCAACGCCGAAGTAAATTTTGTGAAGAAATTAATTTAAAGATTGTCATCAGTAGATAGACTGAAATCGGGAATCGAATAGTTTTTTTTGCACAGACTAACGAAACTCACAAACAAAAGTTGACAAAAGATAACAAAAGCTGCAAAATTTTTAACGTGTAGAAATAAACTTAAAAAAATATCGTCTAAAATCATCATCTGACTAAACAAGGAATTTCCTAAATCTTAAATTTTGTATAGTTTCATAAATACCTGCAACTTTAACTTGATCCACAAAAGTTGAATCAATTTGATGTGAACGCTTAAAATTATCTAACTTCCATAAAGCGTTAGTGTTAAGTCGCTGCCTGCCTGACTGACCGAGGAGTGATGCGATGCAAGCTGCCCCGTAGAGAAGACAAAGAAGGACGCGGAGTGAATTGCATGCATGAAAATGCTGCTCCCTACTGCATGAGTCTGAACTTCGCCTGCACGTGACTTTCACGTACGTACACTTGCCATCAAACTCAAATTAAATGCCTTTGTATATAAACACAGTGTGCAAGTAAATTGAGTGAGTGAGCAGTATACATACATACATACGTCACTCATCAATAGTGGTTATCATGATAAGTAATCTTGATAAACACTATTAATTAATTATTTTAGTTTGAGAAACTCCACCCACAGCGAGTGGCATATCAATTCGAATGTATTTTTGACGCTGAATCCAACGCCGTCCATGGTTTTGACCTGCGAGGCCCCCCTGACCTTCCCGTGACCGTGGGGTTCAAATATTGCTTATTCGTGATGTCGCATATCAATTCGAATGTATTTTTGACGCTGAATTCAACGACGTCAATGGTTTTGACCTGCGAGGCCCCCGTGACCGTGGGGTTCAAATATTGCTTATTCGTGATATCGCATATCAATTCGAATGTATTTTTGACGCTGAATCCAACGCCGTCAATAGCTTGGCGTTAATTGTAGAAGTTAAAGGGGATTGTGGAAGCTAACGGGGTTTGTGGAAGTTAACGGGGTTTGTGGAAATTAATGGGAGCGTGGAACGTGAGAATTTAAGTGGTTAGCTATCCAGCCACTCCCACAGGGGGAAATCAGATTGTTCCGTAACCAGGGAAATTGAAATACAGCATGACTTGGGCACTTTGATGCATGTATGCGCTATGACAAGGGACAAAGTCTCTACTGGAAATTATTTAAAGTTTAGGGATTTTGCGCTATGGGCACACCCCCGTCTGGGGGCCTAGAACCCGTTCTTGAACGGGCCTCTACTCTAGTTTTGTAATAAAGTCATCACCGCATCTAAATATTTCTCTATATTTTATTCCAAATGATAATTTTTCATCGGTTATTAAAGTTTATTTCAAAAAATTACATATTTGTTCCGCCTGTTATGCTTTCAAATTACATGAGCTTCAGAAAACGAAAATCGGGAATTTCTGTATATTTTATTTCGAAATTATTTCGACAGATTTTTCCACGAATGACTAGATAAATTAGTGTTTGCATTTCTCTTTAAAAACTTGTAGATAGTCATTAACGCCGTTAGGCTAACTTACAAAATTCAGAGCAGTGATAACTAACTCAAGGTGAATTGTCTGATGATGTGCATTGCGCTGTCGAGCAAAAAGGTTGAAGTTTTGTATATACATAGTAAAATTTTTCGCAAATATGCAAAATATGATTTCGCAAATGTCGCAAATCTACTAAAAACACCTATTCTTATATTGCTTCCATTGATTTTTGTGATTTCTCTTACTGGTGACTGTACTCATGTTACTCTACCAGATTTTTAACAGTGTACACATTTTGACAGATAAACAAATTGCATGCTTTACATTTAAAACTTGTAGATAAGCATTAACGCTGTGAGGCTAATTTACAAATTTCAGACTATTTATGATTATTAAAAGGTAAGGCTGCAGAATCAAAATAATTTAAGGTTATACAGGCATAGTAAATTTTTTTGGTAAATTAAAATAAATTATTGAGGCAATTCAGGCAGTCATTTATTGCTAAAAATAAAAGGGATGAAATGAAATTTTAAATCGCCGAAATTTTACAAAATTTTAAATCACCAAAATTTTACAAAATTTTTAGAAAAATATGTTACTAAATTTGCTATCCTCCTCTGCTGATACATGCACTCTTAGCAACTTGGTAAAGAATTCCTAATAAGCGTCTTTACCGAGCTCTTGGTAATGCCGCGTCCTACAAAAATTATACCGGATTATTACCGTATCAATACCAACCGGGTAACTGGCCTTCCACCACAATATTTTAAGTTATCTTTATAATTTTGGTAATAAATTCCTACGAGCTGGTAATTATATCCTTCAAATTTAGATAACATTCTTTACCATAATTTTAATCAAGTGCACTACAAGTTGTGGTGCTGACGAGATCTACATTTTGGTGTGGTTTATTACCATAGTGGTAAGAATTTTAATACATTTGGTATGGATTGTGAGACGCTACACAGTGGCGCATTTTTCAGTTTTAGTTTCTGCTCAGCTCAACTCAAGTCAAAATGGCGAAATTAATCCTATTCTGCCCGTGGAAGAAAGTGATAAAAACTTCTGGAAATTATATAGAATTTTTGGAAACAGGTAAGTATCAAATTATCATATGTAGGTGCCTTGAAGATGGTGATCGAGCACGACCACCATCTTAATAGGAACGAGTAAATAATAATGTTATGTTTATTTTTTTCAGTGAAGCAAAAATTTGAGTTGGAAATCAGAACAGAGATTTTTCTGCAAGACGTCAACCGGTGTGGGCTCATCCAAAATCGACTGGAGATTCATCGGAATTTGAAGGGGGGACAGACGAGTGTCAAAAACCATAGTTTGCATTATACTTAAATTTTATACTTATGTAAGTATGTTTTAAAATGGTTTTACAATAAATATAATTGATTGAAAGATTATTGTAAAGAAAATAAATAAATGTATTATTTTCGGTGGAAATCTGCACAACATTTGGTAATAATGGGGTATACATATAAAAAGCATTAATACCGGTATGAGTAGCACGCCGTGTACAAAGTGGTATGGTTTATTACCAGGCGGTAGACATTTTACTACATATTGTAGTACATCTGTCATACATCACGGTATTGATTTTATCCCTAAAGGTGTTCTTTATTACCACTTCGGGTTCAATCAATTTCTTTACCAGCCGGTGGTTATTATTACCGTTTTTGCAGAGTCATATACGTGTGCATTTTGGTAATGATTTGGTAATGATTTTATTTAGAGTGTGCCAGAAATCTTAATTGTCAATCAAAGTTTAATTTCTTGTAAAATATCACATTTGGCGTAAAACTATTTGTAAAATTCACAAAAAATATATAAATTTCCACTTTCAAATTCTTCAAATTAATTTACTCAAACGAAATACAAAAATGTGAAATACTTCATCATTATGTAATAAAAGCTATGAAATAATTCTGTCTGTTTGGTCCAATGATATCAACTATCCTGTTCACGTTGAGACGTTAATTTATCAACCCTCACTTTTGAAAAAAATATTTCATAAGTTATGAAATATTTTCAGAACTTGTGGGGTGTAACTGGGTAAAAATTGAATTATAGAAACTGTGGGGAGTATTTCGTGACCAACTCAAAATTCGATATTATAATATTTCAATATCGAAATTTCGGTATTTCGAGATTTCTAAATAACGAGATTACATGACCTATTCATAACTTTCCTATTTTTCTGGAAATAAATTAATTACAAAAAACATTTTATTTGTAAAATGTGCCAAATTTTGAAATTAAGTTGTACGCTTCGAGTTAGACATTATAATTTTACCGACCAGATATTGATTGATAAAACCCGCTCCTAAAAAAATTCGTGAAAATAAAGTTCAGATTATTAAAAAAACACCACATGTATACTCAAAATAAAAATTTGTCGAATCAACACCGCCGGTGTCAGTATATGACTTAACCGCCTTGGTTAAAATGTTGAATCCGAGTTATGATGATTTTGATACCGGTAGTTATAATGCTATGACCGGACGGAAAAAACTCATTACTACTCGGAATCACAATTGTAACCAAGGCGGTTAAGTCATATATTGACACCGTTTTGTTTTGAGTATATAGCCTTCATATGTCGTTTGAATCTAATTTAGTTGGCACCGGTTATGCATCTTACATTTAATTTGGACTTCATAAACTATTTGTTATAATTATTTTTTGACGTCAAAGTCTACCAAAATGTTAGCAAAGTTTCAAAACGTAAAAAAATATGTCAATTCCACTGAATTATAGACTCATAAAGTGCGAAAACTTCACCAATTTATACAGATTACAAAGGGAAATTAAGTTGTTACAAACTTATTCAAAAAACGTTGTCACATAACGAACCCATGGAAAAGATATAATACCAAATTAAAATGTACCCAAATTCTGTGCGAATTGCTGAAATATTTGTTTAAAAAAGTATAACTTTCTGTGTAAATTGGCACTTCCGATAGAGGTCAACGCCGGTCGACGACCAATTTGTCGGCGACGGCGGTGTGTCAATTTTGGAAGATTGTGTCGGCGTGGTCGGCGGGGCCCCAATGTTGTAAGAAATCCGGTAATAAATTCTTAATACCGCGTATTACCTCCTGTGTGGTAAGATTTGATATTACCATCAGCGGTAGCAAGGCAGTATTTAGTCTCATGCCAAAATTGGGTGGTTACTGTCCAGTAACAGTAGTATTTACCAGCACGGTAGTCATATATGTTTACCTCGTGATATTAAAATTTCTTAGAGTGTATGAATAGGAAATTAGATTTATCGGCGGTGTTGGCCTCCGATCTGCGATCTATTCTTTTTTTTAATCTTCATTACCGCATTAAAATTAAGTTCTGACTGAGTGGTAAATTTTTCATACCTGCTTAACATTACCAAGCGGTACTGATCGTTAATACTAGGCCAGGTAGAGTCCTATTTGTACTCCAGTAATGATTTAATACCAATTTTCTAAGAGTATTGTTAATCCTTAAAGTCATAAATCTAATTTTGTAAAATTATCTAATAGTACAATTGGTAAAAAAATAATTTTTTGTTTCGTAAACGTAATTTAGAAAGTTTCATAGATTTTCAGTGAAGTTTGATATATTCCGACGAAACCTCGTCCAATGAATAGTGACATAATTCACGCAGTTATTAGTAACATTGTAAAATCCTGAAATTTTTTAAGTTATAAACTTATTTATGAAAGTTCGATTGAATTTGTAAAGACCTGATGAAGGAATAACCATTCCGAAAGCTAGTATCAAATTTACAATAAAGACCATTTCCTCAGAATCCATGCATTCTTCTTCAAATTATAACAGAGGATGGAAGTCAATCATAAAATAATTTTAATTAAGGATGGAAAGTGTTAAAATTTGTGCGTTGAGCCTACAGAAATATTCAGTATGTAAAAAGAATCATGATTTTGTTGATCAAATTGATTTGTTAGAAAAAAGTGGAACAAAATGGGTGAGGAGATTTTGACTGGGAAAATTAATATTTGTAAAAGAAACGTGAGATTTTGCAAAAATTGCAATTATAAATAAACTTGACTAATGTCCCGAAATAATATTAATTACAATTTTCGAACTCAACAAAAAAATTTTTCCAGTTTTAATTACAATTTTTTAAAACATTTTCGGATTTTACAAAGTTGCTAATAACTGCGTGAACTGTGTCACTATTCATTGTACGACATTTTGGCTGAAAATGTATAGTACATCAAACAGTCATCAGACACTAAGTTATCTAAAAATTGTTGACAATCTTTGAAATCCACGAAGTTTAAGAAATTTACGAAACGAAATTTGTGCATAAAATGTGCATCTGTCTCAAGCTTATTTTCTTTAGGCTTAAACGCTAAAGATAAATTTTGTGAAGAAATTAATTAACGATTAATTTTTAGATTCACTTTCTATCTGTAACAAGTCCGGGTTTTGATAGTTTTCAAAATCGTTCAAGTTACCCAAATTTTTAGCATGTCGCAATAAACAAATATTTGTCCCAATTCATCATAGGACGAGTTAAGAAATTTCTAAAATCTTAAATTTTGTATTGTTTTATCAATAACTTTAACTTGATTTTTTCCGTATCTAAAACAATTGTCTGAATTTGTTGTGAAGACTCAAAATTACTTCATCAAAAAGTCGTCACCGCATGCATTTCTGCCTGTTTTGTTCTGGTGTGGAATTTTGGGTCGACTTTTAAATTTCAAATTTCAAATTTTGAATTAAAAAAATTGAAAGTTGTTGTTTACCAAAAAGATTTTTAAAACAAACATCAACCGACAAGTTGGCATTTAGTTGAAACAAACAGCAAAATATTTTCGCACCAATTTCGACAGAGCAATTTTTTAGTTAATTAATTCCATTAGTTTTCAAGTTCTTAAAAGTGGAGTTTTTACACTTTATACACTTTATACACTTTATTTTACACTTTCTAACGTCATGAGACTAATTTATTAAAATTCAGATTATCGAGAAATATATTAAGATAAAAAAGTTGTCGAACACAGATGATTTAAAATTTATGTATATTAAAATTTTTCGGTGCCATGCAGTTCATAGTCATTCTTTCATAGTATTCTTTTCATAGTGACGTTTCCATAGCAAAGGCTTTTCATAGTTCGTTTTTTCATAGTCGGCTTTTTCTTAGTGAGGCAAATACCTAACAACGAAAAAAATTACTAAGTATGCATTTGTCCCACCCCAAAAAAGTGACCATCAGCGATATCTCAGTCATTTCTCAACCGATTTTGATGAAATTTTGCACCGATTATTGTTGCATAATATAGAAATGGGATCTGATCCGACTAAGCGATTACGTGATCTTGACCGGAATTATGGGCAAAAATGTAGCCTTAGAAACACATTTGTAATTATTGCTAGTTACTAGCAAACGTTATCAACAGTTTGATACCCACGAATTGTAGGGCAGTTTATCCCGAAAATTTAAAGCATAAATATATCAAAATCTGTTAAGAATTGGCTTAGTTATTCCAATTTGAAGTTCAGAAATTCCTGCTCGTGCTACGAATCATTGCCATTGACAACGACGCAAGACTAATAAATTGAAAACAAATTACATTCAAAACTGTAAACAGCACAACTAGCCGTTTCTGTAACATGCTTGGTAAACTGCGTGAAATTGTTGTTGTTGGGTTTGCAACTCCAGATCAGGTGTTTAGTAATCTAGGCCGGACATTTTGACCAAAATGATATAAATCGGTTAAGAAATAACGGATTTATTCAATTTTAAACACCCAGCATTTAATAAAATTATTCCGCATCAAACTACTGAAAAGGGGTAGTGCAATGCAGTTATCCAATGGGCAATCTAATTACCCAATTAAAAGTTATAAATAAACAAGGTCCCTAAAAAGGGGAAATCTTAGTGAGGGAGTGCAATCACAACTAATAAATAAAATTAGATTGGAGAATTTTTGCATCACCGCTCTCGGTACCATTTTTACTGGAAGAATTAATCGTTTAAATAGAACACTTGCTCCCTCAAAAGGTTCGATGATTTTGCATAGAGTAGCCAAATTAATATATGAAATTGAAATTTGTATATTTTTTTAAACAAATACGTAGCTCATAATTATTTAGTCATTATATCTTACATATCTACCTCAGTTAATTTAACCCACTTCTCGTTCACTACACAGTAAAAATGTATTTCTTCCTCAATTTATTCAATAAAACTAACAATTCATGCATATGCAAAGAAAAATTTATACTGCATCCAGTAAAAATAGTACCGAGAGCGGTGATGCAAAAATTCTCCAATCTAATTTTATTTATTAGTTGTGATTGCACTCCCTCACTAAGATTTCCC